AACCTCCGCCATTTTTAAGACGTGTGGACTTCAACTCCCAGAATTCCCCAGCCAGCCATGCTGGCTGGGGAATTCTGGGAGTTTCAGTCCGCACGTCTTGAAGTGGCCGAGGTTGGGAAACATAGTTGTACATTGCTCAGAGCCAGCTTCCATTAGATGGACAGCTATATAAATCTATTAAATTAATCAATCGATCGATCGTTGAAGTTTCAGAGGAAGGTGGAACGATCAACCATCTTGTCAAGGGTGGGATGGGGGGGTGAGCAATGTTGCCCTCTTTTCGACAATTATGGAGGATCATTCAGTTCAAAATGGGAAGTGATACAGAATGCAGGTATAGTCCTCGACTTTTGACCACAATTAAGCCTAAAATTTCTGTTGCTAAGTGAGACATTTTGTTAAGTGAATTTTCCCCAATTTACGACCTTTCTTGCCACTGTTGTTAAGTGAATCATTGCATTTGTTGAGTTACTAACACAGCTGTTAAGTGAATCTGCCTTCCTCAAAGGTGATCACTTGACCCTGGGAGACACTGCAACCGTCATAAATATGAGTCAGTTGCCAATGTCTGAATTTTGACCACGGGGATGCTGCAACAGTCATAAGTGTGAAAAACGGTCATAAGTCACTTTTTTCAGTCCGTTGTAATTTTGAACGGTCACTAAATGAACTGTTGTAAGTCGAGGACTACTTGTATAGCTGGTCGTCATTTACTGCTGGTTTTCGGGGGGAAAAGCTTCCCATGGCAAACAATGGCTTTGCTTAGCAACCATATTATTCACTTAACAACCTTGACGATTCACTTTATGACCATTGTAAGAATAATTGCAAAACTGGCTCCAGTCACATGGTGACTTGACTTGCAACCACACCAACTTAGGAACAAAATTTCGGTCTGTATTGGGGTCGTTAAGTCGAGGACCACCTATACCTGATTTGGCTAAAACACGTTGGAAGAGCATGGTCAATATTTGGCCCCAATGGGATACAAATATAGCCCCCAAAATTAGTTGTGGGCAAAGGCTGGAAGGAGGAATCAAGTGAGGGCCTAGCTTGGAATCCTTGCATAGCCGTAAGTGACATAAACCTGATCTCCCACAAGATCCCAAAAAGCCTTTTCTGGTGGTCCCCAGAGGGAAAACAAGCAGTTTGGAGAGATTCTTATAACAAAAGTGATAAGACAATACAGTAACTGACTTTCGCTATCCAGAAATGGCTCTGATTGGCTTGGTCCCGACAGTTAGGATCCGATGACACAGCTCTTCAAAATGGCCGCCCTCTGGCCCTCTGCTCACCTGAGAAGTGAACTGGGCTGCTTCCTGAGGCGGATCAGATTTGCTGTCCCCGCAGACGTTGCCCCGGCGGATGTCCTTCACGGACACGTTCTTGACGTTGAAGCCCACGTTGTCCCCTGGCATAGCTTCACTCAAGGCCTCGTGGTGCATCTCAACCGACTTCACCTCGGTGGTAATGTTCACGGGGGCAAAGGTGACCACCATGCCAGGCCTCAGGATCCCGGTCTCCACACGGCCCACGGGGACAGTCCCAATACCTGTGAACGGCCATAAAGGGTGTCAGATCAATACAACAACCATCAGGGAACATGGACATCGGAAAGGCTTCTCCTGATAGGCTGATCTTCAATCCCCATCTTCTTCTTTCCATCTGCATCATTCAACCTGCACGTCTGGAAGGCCCCATTTTGATGGCTGTTATCAGAGAATCAATTTTTGTAACAGATTTCCATGGGGGAAAATGGTATTTAAATGATTCGCTTAGAAATTGAGACTTATTTACAAGCAGCAAATTCTGTTGTGGGTTCTAATTAAGTGCTATACAAGTGTATATAAAGAAATTGCTTTTTTTAAATAGAGTTCCTTGATATAGTTGTGCAGAACTGGGCTGGCACATTAAAGGCAAAGGGCTAAATTATTTGCCTGTAGTGAAGGAGAAATGCGGAAGTGAGAAAAACTGTTTCAGAAATCTATCTATCTATCTATCTATCTATCTATCTATCTATCTATCTATCTATCTATCTATCTATCCTTTCATTTTCGCTTTATAAACTTACTTCTTGCAAAAAGGAAAGACACAAAATGTTGCTTCCAAATTTACAAAGGGAGAAGCCAGCAACATTTTCACGTCAGGTAAAAATGGAGCAAAAAATCAAACTGTTCTGCCCAACCTCGTGGCTGCCACAAAATAAAAATTAAAAGAATTGTATTGGCTGAAATCTCAATAAACTTCTGCGTTCTTTATGAAGTCTATTAGAAACAAAGAGCTTCAAAGCTTTGCAATTTCATAATTCTGGGTTGTTGGGGTTTTTTTTGGGGGGGGGAGTGGGTGTTTAATGTTTGTAAACAATAATATTTACAGATGGTCCTGGCTTGGTTGTCTGCAGCAGTGTGTTATTATGTTTTGCAATAACAATTTGCTGCCCAGAGTGTCTTTGAAACAAGATGGGTAGCAAATACATGTAATCAATAAAAAATAAATACAGGCAGTCCTCGACTTACGATCACAGTTGGGCCCAACATTTGAGTTGCTAAGCGAGACAGTTGTTCAGTGAGTTTTGCCCCATTTTACGACCTTTTTTCCCACGTTTGTTAAGTAAATCACAGTTGCAGTGCTTAGGTTAGTAACGGTCGTTAAGTGGCCTCCCCATTGACTTTGCTTCTCCGAACATTGCAAGAGATGATTGCATCACCACCGGGACACTGCAACCATTGAAATATGAACCAGTTGCTAAGGGTCCGAATTTTGATCACATGACTCTGGGGATGCTGCAACGGTTGTAAGTGTGAAAAACGGTCACCGGTCATTTTCTTCAGTGCCATCGTTAACTTTGGATGGTCATTAAATGAACGGTTGTTAAGTCGAGGACTACCTGCAAATAAGGCCCAGCCTGCAGAAACTTAAAACCGCAGCCACAAGACCAGCCAAGGACCGGATTTCCCCCAGAAATCAGGGATAGGCAACCTTGGTTCTTTTATGAGGCGTGGACTTCAACTCCCAGAATTCCTGAGCCAGCCATGCTGAGGAGAAAGGGAGAAGTTTCCAAGCTGAGCCATGCTGGCTCAGGAATTCTGGAAGTTGAAGTCCACGAGTCATGAGGGGGCCATAGTTCCCCCACGCTGGCTCAGGAATTCTGGGAGTTGAAGTCCACGAGTCATGAGGGAGCCATAGTTCCCCCATGCTGGCTCAGGAATTCTGGGAGTTGAAGTCCACGAGTCATGAGGGGGCCATAGTTCCTCCATGCTGGCTCAGGAATTCTGGGAGTTGAAGTCCACGAGTCATAAAAGGGCCAAGGTTGCCTACCCCTGCCCCAGATGTTCCCCTCACCTCCAATTTTGTAGACGTCTTGAAGAGGCAGGCGCAGAGGTTTATCTGTAGGGCGAGTGGGGGGCAGGATTGTATCCAGGGCCTCCAGAAGGGAGACCCCGCTGGCGTTGCCTTCCTTGCGCTCCACTTTCCATCCTTTGAACCACGGCATCTAGGCGACAAAATGGCAAAGGGTTTTTTTTGAGCGGGGCTACCTGTACAACCCAAATCTTCCATGCCAGAACAAAGACGCACCCTCCGCCCCCTCCCCCCCAAAAAAGAAAACCATCACAACTTTTTTTGTTTACATATGTTAACTGATATTGAAACTTTTAAACGAGGGATAAAAATTAACACAAACTAAATAAAAAGCAAGGAAAAAGAAACAACAGAAGCCTTGGTGGCGCCAGTGATTAGAATGCAGTATTGCAGGCTAATTCTGCCCACAGTCGGGCGTTCGATCCTGACTGGCTCAAGGATGACTCGGCCTTCCATCCTTTTTGAGGTCGGTAAAATGAGGACCCAGATTGTTGGGGTCAACATGCTGACTCTGAAAACCGCTTAGAGGGTGCTGTAAAGCACTATGAAGCTGTCTATAAGTCTAAGTACTGTTGCTATTATTGCGAATGAGTGTGTGGTTTTGCTCCTTGTGTATATGCAGTGGGTTGCCCTGCCAGTGTCAATGGGGTTTGGTTTTGTCCTTAATTAGGGGATTATTTTCTGCTTGATTGTTGTCTGGTGTTAATCCCTGCTTATCTGGCTGTTGAATGCTGCAGGGGTTGTATTCATTTATTTCCTTCTTAACCATTTTATTGTCTCTATTGAATGGGGTTTAAATGTGGCTTATGTCCATGTGTCTTTTGATGGCTGACTTGGCTAAATGCCAAGCAGCCAGGAATTCCTGTAGGAGGACAGGCCAGAGCCTGGTGGTGGAGTCAAGAGAGGAATTAGCCTGGAGTCATTATGTTCCCACAAAGTGCCTAAGCCCCTCTTGAATTCCCTTTCTTCAATGCTGCTAAGCCGGTGTATATCTTTTTTTAAAAAATGGGAGAGGACTTTTTCCTCTCATACTAAAAGAATCTCTCTCTTTCAAGTCCCTTTTAAGAAAATTATAAACTTGTTTAGACCCACTTTAGTTATTTGTTAGATTTTTATCCCGCCATAATTACTTTATAAATTAACTCAAGGCAGCGAACATATCTGATAATCCTTCCTCCTATTTTCCGTACAACAACCACCTTTGGAGGTGGGTTGGGCTGAGGGACTGGCCATAAAGTCACCCAGCTGGCTTTTATGCCTGAGGTGGTACTAGAACTCACCATCTCCCGGTTATTGGCCCAAAGTCACCCAGCCAGCTTCTATACCTAAGGTGGGACTAGAATTCACCGTCTCCTGGTGATTGGCCCAAAGTCACCCAGCCAGCTTCTATGCCTGAGATGGGACTAGAACTCACCATCACCCAGTGATTGGCCCAAAATCACCCAGCCCCCTTTCGTGCCTAAGGCTGAGCTAGAACTCCCAGTACCTGGCTTCTAGGCCAGCACCTTAACCACTATATCAAGCTGGCTCTCTTTTCCACTAAAGCGAGTGAAGAATGCAGACATTTAAGTCGCTCTGGAATTATTGGTTCAAACACATTCAAAGAAAGGGTTCAGAGATGAAGCAGGATCTTGGGTCTTTCTGAAAAGCAAAGACTGCAATATTTCTAAAAGGCCACCTTTAATTTTGAAAAACTCTTATGGCTAACCAGCCGGCTGTAGCCAAATCCCAGAATAAACCCGAAACGGGAGCTCTCTCTCTTTGAGTTGCCCTCCCAAAGCTTACGTTGGGAGACGGTTCCAGCATATTATCGCCGTGCCAGCCCGAGATGGGGACGAAGGGGACGGTGGACGGGTTGTAGCCGATCTTCTTGATGTAGGCGCTCACTTCCTTGACAATCTCATCGTAGCGCTTCTCGCTGTACGGAGGCTCCGTGGAGTCCATCTTGTTGATGCCGACGATCAGCTGCTTGACACCCAACGTGTAGGCCAGCAAGGCGTGTTCGCGGGTCTGCCCGTTTTTGGAGATGCCCGCTTCGAATTCCCCTACCCCGGCAGCTACAATCAGGACGGCACAGTCAGCCTGCAGGGGGAGAAGGAGGGAGGGGCGAAGTCAATTTGCAGAAGACAACACAAGCACAGCTCTAAGGTTCCCCACAGTTGTGACTTGGCCAGGTAATCTGGCTGCCCCAGTTAGCCTTGTCCCCAATGCAAGCAACTTGTTAATAATAATAATAATAATAATAATAATAATAATAATAATAATAATAATAATAATAATAATAGTAATAATAATAATAGTAGTAGTAGTAGTAGTAGTAGTAATAATAATAATAATAATAATAATAATAATAATAATAATAATAATAATAATAATAATAATAATAATAATAAAGTTGGAAGGGACCTTGGAGGTCATCTAGTCTAACCCCCTGCTCAGGCAGAAAACCCTATACCATTTCAGACAAATGGTTGTCCAGTCTCTTCTTAAAAACTTCCAGTGTTGGAGCATTCACCGCTTCTGGAGGCAGGTTGTTCCACTGGTTAATTGTTCTAACTGTCAGGAAATTTCTCCTTAGTTCTAGGTTGCTTCTCTCCTTGATTAGTTTCCATCCGTTGCTTCTTGTCCTGCCTCCAGGCGCCTTGGAGAATAGCTTGACTCCCTCTCCTTTGGGGCAGCCCCTGAGATATTGGAAGACTGCTATCATGTCCCCCCTTGTCCTTCTCTTCATTAAACTAGACATACCCAATTCCAGTAACCGTTCCTTATATGCTTTAGCCTCCAGTCCTCTAATCATCTTTGTTGCTCTTCTCTGTACTCTTTCTAGAGTCTCAATATCTTTTTTGTTCTTGGTCTGGTAGCAAAGAATCATGGATGACCTGGCCAACTGACCCATTTCCAACATCTTCCCAACCCCCTGTAAAGAAAACTCTAACTTCTGACCCAGGCAAAATATATTTAAATATCTACAAGGGTCCAACTGGAGAGGTCACCACTGCAGAGGGCCCTCCTTTCCTTCCCAGCATCAACCTTGGCCATCTGGGTGCAAAGTGGAACGAATAAAAGAATACTAATAAAAGACTGAGGAGAGCCATGTTTCTTGGGGCCAGTCTAGGACTTTGTCTTTGTACCCATAGCTAGGAAATGGAAGGATTAACTCAAGTGTTTTTCAACTTTGGCCAAATTAAGATGGGTGGACTTTGACTTTCACAATTCCCCAGCCAGCAGGACTGGCTAGGGAATATTGGGAGTTGAAATCCACTCATTTTAAAGTAGCCACGGTTGAAAAAGCACTTGAAGGCAGGACAAAAAGCAACGGATGGAAACTAATCAAGGAGAGAAGCAACCTAGAACTAAGGAGAAACTTCCTGACAGTTAGAACAATTAACCAGTGGAACAACCTGCCTCCAGAAGCTGTGAATGCTCCAACACTGGAAGTTTTTAAGAAGAGACTGGACAGCCATTTGTCCAAAATGGTATAGCGTTTCCTGCCTGAGCAGGGGGTTGCACTAGATGACTTCTAAGGTCCCTTCCAACTTTATTATTATTACTACCAGCCGAACCGAATCCGATCGAGCACAGGTAAGGATACATCTTAGATCCTACCTTGTGGCGATGAGGAAGGCTAGGACTAACTACTATGCCTCACTCATCGCGTCATCAGATAATCGCCCGGCCGCCCTCTTCAGGGTGACCCGCTCTCTCCTTCAATTGGAGGGGGGGGGACCCCCTGGAGGGGAGGGCAGAGGATT